GTGGCTAGTGCTCTGTCACTTGAGCCACAGCACTACCTCTAGATTTTTTGGTAGTTACTCTGAGAGAAGAGTCTTCCACACTTTCCTGCCTGTGCTGTCTTTTAAGCTGTATTCCTTAGATCTTAGTTTCCTGATTAACTACGATTTATAGATGTGAGCCACTGGCACTCAGCTTTATTATGCTTTTTTCTTTTTTGGTCCAAGCCTGGGGATTTGAACTTGCTACCTGATGCTTTCTCTCATTGGCTTGGCACTCTACCAACTATGCAATGCCTCCAACCACAAAGGATTCTTTTCTTTATTTTTTAATTGTACTTTATATGGCAGATGTAATAGTAAATATTACCAAGTATAATACCAATTTGTTTAGTATTGTATTAAAACCAAATAAGTATTATGTATTAAAGCATTAATAAGACATGAAATAGTATTAAAGGACTAAATCACCATCAGATCAAACATGAAATGAGCAAATTAATGACATTTTAAAGATCAATACTAAGATTATGAGGCAGATTTGATTAAAAGGAAAATCTTTCAGGTAATATAATTTATGCATGGGAAGGTAAGATGACGCTAATTTTTTTTCTAATAATGTTTATTACAAATAGGGAGTTTTGCTGGTGGCTCGCACCTATAATCCTAGCTACACAGAATGTTTAATTCTAAATAAATTATTTTAGCAATTACAGGGATTCTGAAATATAGTCAACATAAGTAACAAAAACAAAATACTAAAAGTGGGAACTTTTATTTCAAATGACTAAAAAGACCTGTATTAGTGGAAGGAAAAGATGTGTAACTATAAGAAGTGGTTAATTAAAAACTGAGCTACATCTGGACTTTCAGTTTTCTAGTAGTTTATTGGAGATGAGTCTCATGGGCTTTCCTGACTGGGCTGGCTTTGAACCATGATCCTCAGATCTCAGCCTCCTGAGTAGGATTACAGGCATAAGCACCAGCATCTGGCTAAAGATTTCTTAATGTCAACATATACTAAATTAGGTTTTCTTTTAGGTAAAAAGCAAAAAGTCAAATTCATCAGATCATCTCAATATTTATTCCATTTTTATAAGGGTCTTGCCATGTAGCATAGGCTGTACTAGAACTGATCCTCCTGCCACAGCTCCTGTGTGTACTACCACCACTAATTTTTTTTTTGGGTCCGGTTGTGGGGCCTGAACTCTGTACCTGGGTGCTGTCCCTCAGCTCTTCAGTTCAAGGCTAGCACTCTACCACTTGAGCCACAGTGCCACTTCCGGCTTTTTTTTCCTGCGTATGTGGTGCTGAGGAATCGAACCCAGGCCTCATGCATGCAAGGCACACGCTCTACCACTGAGCCACCTTCCCAGCCCCACCCCTACTTTTTAAAAGTCCCATGTTAGGCCTATAATCCTAGCTATTCAAGAGAGACTGAGATCTGAGGAACACAGTTCAAAGCCAGCCTGACAGGAAAGTCTGTGAGACTCTTATCTCCTTAACCACAAAAAGCTTTAAGTGGAGCTGTGGCTCAAGTGGTGGTAGAGTGCTAGCTGTGAGCAAAAAAGCTTGGATAGTTTCCAGGTAATGAGTTCAAGCCCTGGGACTGATACCAAAAAGTCCCATTTCAAAAGTAGGAAAACAAAGCATCCTAATTCTCATTGTTTTTCTTTTTAAACATTCTTTTTTTTTGGGGGGGGGGGGGTCAGGTTGTGTGCCTGAACTCTGGGCCTGGGCGCTGTCCCTCAGCTCTTCAGCTCAAGGCGAGCGCTCTACCACTTGAGCCACAGCACCACTTCCGGCTTTTTTCCTTTTTGCTTATGTGGTGCTGGGGAATCGAACTCAGGGCCTCATGCATGCAAGGCAAGCACTCTACCACTGAGCCACCTTCCCAGCCCATCATTGTTTTTCTTATAAGATATTTTAAATTCACCTAGTATGTGAACACAGGGTTTTTCAAAGCCTCAATGAATTATTTTATGCTGTTCAAATTATAAGTATTATTGGAATTCCACCAAAGAAGAAAAATTCTAGACTTAAAAAAATACAAAAAATTGGGCTGGGAAGGTGGCTCAGTGGTAGAGCTCTTGCCTTGCATGCCTGAGGCCCTGGGTTCGATTCCTCAGCACCACATAAGCAAAAAAGAAAAAAAAAGCCAGAAGTGGCGCTGTGGCTCAAGTGGTAGAGCGCTAGCCTTGAGATGAAGAGCTCAGGGACAGCGCCCAGGCCCAGAGTTCAGGCCCCATGACTGGACCCCCCCCCCCAAAAAAAAAAAAACAAAAAATTATCTTTCTGGCCAGGTACAGGTGGCTACACCTGTAATCCTAGCTACTCAGGAGGCTGAGATCTAAGGATTGCAGTTCAAAGCCAGCTCGGGAAGGAAAGTCTGTGAGGCTCTTATCTTGAATTAACCACCAGAAAACAGGAAGTGGCAGTGTTGCTCAAGTGGTAGGTAGAGCACTAGCCTTGAGCTTAAGAGCTGAGGGACCGTGTCCAGACCCAGAGTTCAAGCCCCTTGACCAAAAAAACCAAAAACGAAACAAAACAAAAACAAAAAACAAAGTAGTAAGAATAGAAATAGGCTGTCTGATCATGGGGCAAAAAGGGAAATGAATTTGTTTACAGGAACTATGTTTGGAAAAGCAGAAAAGTGCATAGTTAAAAAGAATGATTTATTCTTGTAAATTAAGTCTTTGGCTTTTTTTTTTTTTCCGGTTGTGGGGCTTGAACTCTGGGCCTGGTTGCTGTCCCTCAGTTCTTCAGCTCAAGGCTAGTGCTCAACCACTTGAACCACAGCACCACTTCCAGTTTTCTGAGTGGTTTATTGGAGATAAGAGTCTCACAGACTTTCCTGCCCCAGCCACACACACACACACACACACACACACACACACACAGCATATAATTTTATTTTTACTTATTTTTCCATAGGGATTGAAATGTCTGTTTCTGCATACTTACATTTTAACATTTCCAATTTCTTGTGATCTGAAAGATTTTAGTTGGGCAGGGTGCCAGTGGCTCATTCCTGTAAGCTTCTTAGGAGGCTGAGATCTAAGGATCATGGATTGAAGCCAACCTTGACAGGAAGCTCTGTCAGACTCTTATCTTCAGTTGGCCAGCAAAAAAAGCTAGAAGTGGAGGTGTAGATCAGGTAGTAGAGTGGCAGCCTTGAGTAAAAAAGCCAAACAAGAATGTAAAGCCCTGAGTTCAAGCCCCAGTACCTTCACAAACAAAACAAATAGTATTTTCACTGACATCACATCTCAGATGCGTTTAAGGAGTGTGGATTGCCATATGAAAGTATACTTGCGGGGCTGGGAAGGTGGTTCAGTGGTAGAGCACTTGCCTTGCATGCCTGAGGCCCTGGGTTCGATTCCTCAGCACCACATAAACAAAACGAAAAAAGCCGGAAGTGGCACTGTGGCTCAAGTGGTAGAGCGCTAGCCTTGAGCTGAAGAGCTGAGGGACAGCGCCCAGGCCCAGAGTTCAGGCCCTGCGCCTGGACCCCCCCCCCCAAAAAAAAGAATCAATTGTCTGAAGCCAAAGACTTCCTCAGGAAATTATCTGGTTTGCTAAAGCTTTGGCAGACCATTAGCATCATGGGGTTAGTTCAAAGGCTGGCCAAATTATAGGATATGTCAGCTCCAGGTATGTCATATATCTGTGAGCACAAGAACAATTAATACACCACTGGTTAGATTTTGGGTAGTCATTGAATTTAGACAAATGGTATGTTAATTGAAAATAGCTGTTTAGGTTTAGGGCTTTTGTACCAAAAACAGTTATGTGTGTTGTGCAAGAACCTGGGGAACTTCCAGAATTTCAAGAACAAAATAAAACTCAGGCCAGAATCAACTTATGTAAGTGAAAACTGTAAAAATAAAAACAAACAACAAAACACACACACAAAACAAAAACAAAAACACCCAAATTCTTCAAAGGAAATGTCCGCAGAACTTTTACTCAGCAGGAATATGTAAAGCTCATGTGGTACATTTTTATCCAAGTTGCAGATCAATGACATTACATTCATGGTCATTCTAACTTCAATATCTGCATGCTCAAGTACAGTATTACACAAGAATTTTGTATGCTAAGGAATAAAATTAGTTTCCAGAAAAATTACTTAATATTCATTAAGTAATTTTCATTTCATCTATCAGGGATAGAATTCAATTTTCTTTGGATATAAGGAATATTTGATATAAGGAATATATCAATATTTGATATAAAATATTGATATTTGATATAAGGAATATTTTCTTAGTTGCTTGATTGTATTCCTTAAGAAGGCAAACCTAGGGGCTGGGAATGTGGCTTAGTGTTAGAGTGCTCACCTAGCATGCATGAAGCCCTGGGTTTGATTACTCAGTACTATATAAATAGAAAAAGTCAGAAGTGGTGCTGTGGCTCAAGTGGTAGAGTGCTAACCTTGACCACAAAAAGGTCAGGAACTGTACCCAGACTCAAACCTAATGACTGGCCAAAAAAATAGAAAAAGAAGAAAGGGCTCGTAAGGTGGCTCAGTGGTAGAATGCTTGGCCTTGCATGCATGAGGCCCTGGGTTCAAATCCTTAGTATCACATAAGTAGAAAAGCCCGGAAGTGGTGCTGTGGATCAAGTAGCAGAGTGCTAGCCTTGAGCTGAAGAACTAAAGGACAGTGCCCAGGCCCAGAGTTCAGGCTGCACAACTGGACCAAAAAAAAAAAGGCAAATATATTGGCAATTCAGGAAATTTAAAGCATAAGTGTACATTAGATGTAAAGGAAACAGCTAAACATTCTAACAGAAAATAACAACTAGAGATTTCATTTACATATACTAGAATGCTAAAAAGACAGGATTAATTTTTTAATCAGGAAGACTAGATGCCACACTGATTTTTAATGTTTATGACCAAGACTTTATCACATATTAATAAATATAATCTTTACTTTTGAAATTATTATTCTCCAAGCATTTATTTCCAACATATTTAAATTTTTCACAAAGCATTTTAAGGAAAAAATACCACTCCATTTAAAGATATAATAGTAAACTTTAATGCATGATTATACCAGTGTCTCCAGATTAGACAAGGAAAACAGAAACATCCCAGTATTGGATATGTAATTGTTACCACAAATGAGAGCAAATATGATGACCAAATGCATGGCTCTTGTTACTCCATGTCTTAGTCATTATCAGAACCATTTGGAGGTAAGAAAACCAATGCATCATTGAAAACATGTCCAAATGCTCTAAGTCGGTATACCCCATACATCATCACATGCATCTGATTAGGAGTTAGTCCATTAAAAGTAACAGCCATATCTGAACAACATCCTTCTACTACCTGGTTTGGGTGATTAGTCTTTGCCTCTTTAATAAAAAGCCCAACAGATTTAGTATTAAATACATCTTTTCCATCAGCATCTTCTGCATTTTCTGCAAACACTCCAGCATATTTCAGGCAGACTGCTAGCTGCTTATCTTCAGATATCTTCCAAATCATTCCTCCCTGCTCAGGACACTTTTCAGGAATATTGAGAAGGCTATCAAGTCTTTTCATTGATTCTATACTTAAGACTATTCCTCCTTCCACACTGACATATTCAAGGTCTCCAGATTTTATAGTGTGGCCTAGATAGAAAGGTTGTGATGGATCCTTTTTTAACAAAAAATACTTTAGGTTTTCAATAATAGCAAATGTAGTGGGACGTGCCAGGAAGAACCAGTGGTATTGCTCTTTATACTTATCAAAGGCATATTTGTAAGCTTTCCTCATCATCAACCATATATCATTTGTTTCCATATTAATTGATTCAAACACTTTAACATTTTCAGAACTGAAGAACTCGGCTTTGTCACAGTGTTTGGTCCAAGTCTCCTTCACTGCAGCCCAAAGACTCACATCTTTGGGTTTTACAAGGATGATGCAATATACCTGAAAGCTCTTACTAAGCTCCATGCGTTCATCCTCTGAAATTTTCAAGATATCTTCTTTGTTAGGAGCTTGTAGGTGATGGTGCTCATGGTGGTGCATTCTATTTCCATGACCAATCCTAACATGTCCTAGCATAGTGATCAAGACACAGAAAATGCTTCCGAGCATCACACCCTTCAAAAACGAACTGCTTTCTGAAAGCATTTTTTCCTATAAAGAAGAAAAAGACTCTTAAAATATTTTGTTTAGTCCTCTTCTGGTATTTCTCATATACTTACATTTTACTGTTTAAAAACAAAACAACCCCCCCCCCCCAAACAGCTTCCCAAACACTCCAGAATCTTTAGCTTCCAATGTTACCCAATTATAGTTTGATATAAACTAGAATTTTGTAGAAACTTTTACTTTTCTACAAAATAGAATTTGCTGTAGTGGGCTATTTTTAAGGATTTAATTAACCAAGTAATAAAGTATTTGCCATAGAAACTAATGTCACAGAACTTGTCCATTCATCAGTCCCTTCAAAGAATTTTTTTGTGTGCAAGTTCTGGGGCTTGAACTCTGGGTCTGGGCATTGTCCCTAAGCTCCTTATGCTCAAGGCCTGCACTTTACCTCTTGAGCCACAGCACTACTTCTGGCTTTTTCTGGGATTAATTGGAGATAAGTCTCATGGACTTTCATGCCCAGGCTGGCTTCCAACTATGATCCTCACATCTCAGCCTCCTGTGTAGCCAGGATTACAGGTATGAGCCATTGGTGCCTAGCTTAAAGAATTTTTTATAGCAACTACGCATTATATTATTTAAATAGCTCAAATATATAAATGGAGTTTTATATCAAGCCATTAAAGAGAACAGATAAATTCAAATTTAATCCAAAAATTTCCCCCTAAATTCTAACTTCTCTTTTCAATACAGTGCTTTATTAAACTGATGGCTAATAACTTAATAACCTGTAGTATATCTAAACCAGGTTTCTTGAAATTGATACTATCCTCATATATTATTAACCTTTCTGTTTCTAAAACTAAATGGTTTACAGTGCAGTATCCTAATTATTAATGTAATAAAATACCACAATTAAAAGTTATTTGGAAAGCCAAGTGCTGGTGGCTGACACCTGTAACCCTAGCTACTAAGGAGGCTGAGATCTGAAGAATGAGGTTTGAAGCCAGCCTGGGCAGTAAAGTCCATGAGACTCTTATCTGCAATTAACCACCAGCAAACCAGAAGTTGGTACTGTGGCTCAAAGTGGTAGAATACTAGCCTTGAGCTGAAGAGCGCAAGGACAGCACACAAGCCCAGAGTTCATGCCCCACAACCGACAAAAAAAATTGTATGTTTCACATTTATGCTAAAAAAAAAAGGTAAACATTTCCCAATTCTCCTCAAACTCCACAAAAAAAATCTTCTTTACTGTGCTACTTAAATTTTCCCTTTGACTCTTAAATTTGAAAGAAGCCTTCATGACATCAAGTCCTAACTAATGTCATTTCTTTCATTTTACAGATAGGAAATGGAGTACCTCAGACTGACCCAATAATCAAAAGGTAATCAGTGGTAGAAGTGTAGAAACTAGATCTTCATGACTTCAGTTTAATCTTTTTTCCATTACACAATAATCAACACAGTGCTCCTACTATGTTATTGAGAATCTAATAAATAAATTATGCAAAAACTTTTTCTATATATGGAAAAGGGATGTATTGAGTATAACTGGTTTTGCACACACCACTGTTCTACTATATGGAACTCATTGTTGCTGTTATAAGGAAATCATATCTATGCTTTCCTTCTAGATGGAACTGACTTTGACTTCTATCAGCACAAGGTGTGGAACAGCCTGTGAGACAGAATTCCTGAGTGAGGATGGGGTGAGAAGAGAGGCAGGATGGTGGCATTCCTACACATTCCCAATAGGAAAAAGTTCTGCTTAGTTTTGCATTTTACATTACACAATATTCATTATTTCTGGCTAGTATATGAAGTCACATGTCTCTGTTGACTTTATTATGGTATACAGGTCGAAATTCTTCCTGATCGCACCCCCTGGATACAAAAATGTTAATCAAGAAGCCTACAAATTTTATACAAAATACAAAATTTAAATTATTTAAAACTATTTCCCCATTAGGGGAGGCTAAAAATACAATATGGGGATGTACACGATTATACACAACTGAACCTTAAAATTGCACACTGAAGGAAAAAAAAACTGCACACGGAAACAAAGCAGAAATTATCCAAATGATTCTTGAAATGAGTTTGTTTTTTTTAAAGGTGAAGGTGGATGGTGTAAACTGTGGAAAAGGGAGGGCAAAATGGAGAATGAGGGTGAGAGAAGACATGACTCATCTAAAGACTTCATTGAGGAGCTAATGTATTGCCCCTTCGGAAGGCAGTTCTCCGCCTAGCACCTGCCAGGGCATCCCACGTGGAGCATGCTGGGAATAGGCTAGGGCTTGGCATCTCGGGGAAGGGGGTCTAATCACTTCGGGTTCCACTTAGGGTGGGGGCTGAGGCCTCGACACTCACCCGCATCTAGAATGGCTCAGGACAGGAATGCGCAGACGTTCACGGCTTTCCTTTCACGTTCTTACGCCACTCGGTTACGCTCCTGCTCGGGTTGCTCTACATGCAGGAGGAGTCTTCTCGTTGATCTTGCTAAAGGTGGAGAAATCTAGGAAGTTGACGCCCAGAAGGCGGGGTTGGCAGTGCGAGACGGGGCGGTGCTAGTGAAATCAGGGCAGGTCGAAGAGCCATCCACCGCCCGGCCATAGAAAGGACCAGCGAGCAAGCTGCGTACCCTTTTCCCCGCCCCACGCCACGCGCTGAAAAGCGCGTTGTGATGGCGTAACCAGAGCGCTCATATCTACCCAATAGGAAGCCCCAAGAGGCGTTCGGGTGGGCGTTAAGTCTCGCTGGTATCTCCTTATTTCTTTTTCCGGGGCGGAGAGAAACGGCTGCATGCTTGTCGGATATTTTATCCGTGTTCGCTTCAGGTCTAATAGTTTCTCTTTGTCTTTGTAGTTATAAGGTGATAAGAGGGTGTTCCACCCTGCATTTATAGGCGCAGATGAAACTGAAAACTGTTGGAGTGGTCATTGAATTCGAAAACAAGGGGTTCTGTGGTGCCGGGCGCCAGTGGCTCAAGCCTTTTATTTGTAAGAGTCTGGGAGACTCATCTCCAGTAAACTACCAGAAACAAAAACGACGCGGGGAGTGAAGCTGTGGCTCATGGTAGAGCGCTAGCCTTGAACAAAAGAAACTCAGGGACAGTGTCCAGGCCCTGAGTTCAAGTTCCAGGACTGGTACAAAAAAAGGAGGGGGAGAAAGATATACATCATCTGCAGAAAAACCAGCCTTCTGAGTAGCTAGTATTACAGGCGTTAGCCACCAGCTCCCGAAGAGTAAAAATTTCTGTGGAGATAAACAACTCTTACTCTTAAAACAATTTTGTGTTTTTCCATTAGCATACTTATACAAAGGAAGTTTCATTGTGACATTTCCACACAGGCATACAATTTACCCTATTAATCTAATCCCCTCTTTCATTCACCTTGATTCCCTTTCCCCCATTAAAACAATTTCGACTTTTTGCTATTCTGTCTTCATACATACAAGTAAATACATACAGCACTTCTTATAATTAAGGCTAGCAGGTTTCAAAGAAATTAGGATATATGTGATGTGAAAGAGAGTGTCTACAAAGTGATATTTGTTGCAGGCTCACTCTTCAAGAGATTGCTCAGAAAGCCTCCAACCAATCTCAATGGTCAGTTCTCAGAACTCCTGCTTTACCAGTCCAAAAATAAGATGTGTTCTTTTCACCTCTCAAGAGCTTTGGGCTAGAACAGGATTTTGGAGGTTTGGATTTCCTCAGTTTGCACATCTGCAAAATGGGAACTATATTATATTGAACTGGTTGAGAACACTAAAGGACAAATCCTCAAGGGATTGTTTTCCTCCTACCCACTGTCAGTGTGTTCCCTCTGCACCCTGCTCTTGTATTATTTGTTTAATATCCATTTTCACATGCAAACATCTTTTCTTTCTTTTATTTTGGACCTAGTCTCTTCAGCCTCAGCTTTCTGAGTGCTGTTATTTTAGGAATACATCCCCATGCCTGGCTTTAAATACATAACTCAGAAGTAAATACGATGGTTAATGTTAGTTGTCAATTTGACTGCAGTAAGTAGCACCTAGGAGAGTAGGAAAGAACACATTTGGCTGTATATGTAAGGGCATTTCTAGAGAGGATTAATCTGCCCTGAATGTGGTTAGCACTATTCCATAGCCCTCCATTTGGAATAAAAGGGGGGAAATGAGAAATATAGGAGAGACAAGCATTCTCTTTTTGCTTCTGGGTCTTTTTTATGTGAGCTCCTGGGCTCCATCATGCTACTCCTGCCAGGACTGCCAAAAGGAACACTTTATCCTTTAAATTGCTTGTGTCAGGTATCTTGTCACAGTGACAGAAAGTTTAACCCAAAATGAGTTTTGTTTTCTCTACAAGGTAAAGAATTGAAATAGGATTGCTCTGTAATAAGCCAGTCAGAAGACAAACTTGCCTCTTCTGCAGTACGATAAGAAAATACATTCTCAAAATCCTCTTACCCTGTTTACATAGTTGAAAGAATTAAATAATTTAGCTTGGATGAATTCTGGTTGCAGCTCATGAGTGACAAGGAGAGGAAATTTAGACCAGGTTGGCTAGAGATAGAAAATCTAGAAATGGAGATGCTTTTTAGATTCTGACTAGGTAAATGCTACATATATAACAGCTTACTTTATATGAATCTGACTCTGTCATAAGTAGAACCTAACGCTCACAATTTCTTGTAAACCATGAGACAAAATTACTCATGGCTCTGTAATCTAGTGCTTGCCTGGTGTACACAAGGCTCTGGGTTTTATCTGTCGCATTACAAAGTACAACTGATGGTTAAGATTGGCAGAATGGCCCAGAGCGCTGGTGTCCTATTTACACAGGAAGCTGAGATCTGAGGTTGTGGTTTGGAACTGGCTTGGGCAAGAAAGTCTGTGAAACTCTTTATCTCCAGTTTACCATCAAAAAGCTGGAAGTGGAACTATAGCTCAATTGGTAGAGTGCTAGCCTTGAGCAAGAAACCTCAAGGAAAGTGCCCAGGCCCTGAGTTCAACCCCTAGTACTGGTATACAGAATAATGTTTTTTATTAGAAAAGAGATATGACAGAGAAAGAGAGCATGTGGCATAGATATGCCACGGGAAGACAGCCCAGGTCAGCCACCTAGCACAGTCCCCAAACTTCTCCCTGATTATTAGCATATATACTAAGGATTTGATCTTTAACCTAAGAGCACTGAGAAATCATTGATTACAGAGTGAGAATTGGATGGCTTTCTGATTGGTGGATCTGCCTTCTGTTTTCTGTGTGGTTGTGTTGCCGAGATTAACTCTGCTATCCTTATTTCCTCATTCTTTTATACCCTCCCCATTTTGTTGTCGGGCAAGTTTTAGTTTATCAGCTTATCCTACCATCTTCAGTTTGTATAAGCTGTAGTTCCCTGATGGGCTAATTTTCTACTTTTTTTTTGTTGGTCTTGGGGCTTGAACTCTGGGCCTGGGCACTGTTCCTCAGCTCTTCAGCTCAAGGCTAGCGCTCTACCACTTGAGCTATAGCGCCACTCCCGGTTTTCTGGTGGTTATGATAGTTGATCAAAAGGGAAAGCACATAGTTGTCCATTGAAAATAATTTGAAATGATTGGTAGAGTAGGATATTTGAAGAAAAGAGGCATAAATTGTTTGAAATGAATGGGATACCACATACACATTCCAGAAAAGGAACAGAATCCCATATAAAATAAGGGTTTGGTCTCTAACCTAAGAGCAGTGAGGAATCATTGAATGATTTTAAATATGATTTAGAATGACATTTTAATAAGATCACTGTTGTTGCTGCAAGGTTAATAGATTGCTGGGAAACAAAAGTGGAATTTAATGGACCAGTTATCCATATGAAGTAGGGAATTCAGGTCTGGCTGGTGCCACATTAGCCACATGGTGAATGGTAGGGTATGGCATCTTGTCTTCATGCAGGGTAGGGGGGGGGAGGAAGTCCCATCCACAGGTGATGGGTATGCCTGAACCCCTGGAGACAGGGGTGGGCACTTGGCCTATAGGTTACTGAACCTGTCTGTTCAGTGCCTGGGACTGGGAGCTTCCTGTGACCCTGCCCCTTGACCTGACCCTATACAAGCCTGTACCAGCTCTGGGGCGCTTATGCCATGCCATGCATCTCTGTGTTCCTGTCCTGTGACCTGTCTCCTAGCTTGTCTCTGGTCACCATGGCATCCAAATTCAGCTCTCAATTGAAGCTCAATTGGTTTGTTGATATTGTTTTTGTTCTTTCTTTTCTTTTGGGCCTGTTTCCTGTGTTAAGTTTATTTGTGGGCTGCAAGCTTTTGTATGTGCAGACTGCTAGCATTCTAACAAAGACTCCAAGATTTTACCTCTCAAAATGTGGCTTCTTTGAATTGTCACCTTACCACACTTAGATACTGTGTTTCTATCTAGAATCTATGGAGTATAGGGAATATTTCGTCCATGCTGCCCTGGTGACCTTGAACTGCTTTACCGACACTGCATAGCCAAGATTCAACCACAGTCTGACTCATGTCTTGGAGGAATGCCCTAGGATTCTCTCGCACTGCAGGATAAACAATATTGTGAGAAGCTATCATAGGCCATTTCTTCTCCACTTTTCTACCTTTGTGGGAGGCTTCTTTAAGATAATAAATAAATAAATAAATAGGCAAATAAGTAAATAAATAGATAACAATTTAAAGCTAAATTGCACCCCAGGGATTATGGCAGAATTTAGTGTCCTCACATATTTAAACATTGAACACAATTTTTTTGGGAGGGGTCCAGTCGTGGGGCCTGAACTCTGGGCCTGGATGCTGTCTCTCAGCTCTTCAGCTCAAGGCTAGTGCTCTACCACTTGAACCACAGCGCCACTTCTGGCTTTTTTTCTTTTTGCTTATGTGGTGCTGAGGAATTGAACCCAGGGTCTCATGCATGCAAGGCAAGCACTGTACCTCTGAGCTACCGTCCCAGCCCCTGAATACAATTTTTATGATGTTTATTAGCACATGGCATGGCGTAGTGGTGCCTATGCTCACCTGGGCCTAAATAGGGTTAGGTCAGGGGGCAGGGTGATAGGAAATTCCCAGTCCCAGGTTGGACTGACTGATCCAGTAACCCATCAGCCAAGTGGGATTCGAGCATGCCCATCATTTGGAGGTGGGAACATCACCTTCCCCTAGAGTGAAGACAAGATGCCAGACCCTATCATTCACCTTGTGGCCAATATAGTGCTAGCCAGACCTGATCTCCTTACTTCAATTAATATAATCATAGATCAATAGTTATTGAATTAGTGAATGTGTGTTTTTTTCATATATATTGGAAGGTAGAAGGAACAAAGTCATTGCTTTGAGCATATTCAGAAGATAGCTCTTGGTTTAATCTATATTTTCAGATCTTCCTTCCCTCGTCCCTCTCTCCTTTCCCTCCTTCCTTCCTCCCTCCCTCCCTTCCTTTCTTCCTTCCTTCCTTCCCTCCCTCCCTCCCTCCCTTCCTTCCTTCCTTCCTTCCTTCCTGCCTTGCTCTCTCTTCTCTCTTTTCTTTTTATGGTAC